GGGGAATCCTGGGAGTTGAAGTCCACTCATCTTAAAGTGGCCAAGTTTGGACAACACTGGTTTGAGGGATGCACCAGTGTTCTTGGTGTGTCGAGGGCCACAATCCAACATAGTGAAACCAGGAAGTGTTTGGGGCGGAGGGGGGGAGCTTAGGGGGCAAAATGGATGCTTTGGGTCTCTGCATTTTGCCCTTTAATGTCTCCTGCTTCCTCCTGAAATATAATCAAAAGACTGAAACTTTTGGCCCACCCACTCTGCAATTTACGCTTTATCCATTGCCAGCTTGGCTGATAAAGAGTAAAATGCCCAAGATTTCTGCTGTTTCCACCTTTTCTTAGCTGGGAACTAGTGGACATGCGAAGTGCCAGGGAGCCTGGCCTTTCCCCCTCGTCTTCCCCGTTGATGTAAAGTGGTAGGCAAATGAGGGTTTATTCACCCCAGTTGGGTGGAAACAGTGGCATTGTGGAAGGACCCACCTGCAATTTCAAAGTACATATTTATTTTGTTCAGAACCTGGCACTTCCTCTTCCTTTCTTCAGCCACTGCTGCAGCCACGGACCGCGGTTTGAGGTCTTAGAGAAAGAATCTCGTTGCAAATTTATGATACCTCATGTCACCATCGCTGCTCGCAATGTGATTTTTTAATAGAAATGGAATAATGGCTTAGCAGCCAGGGAGCTTTCCCTTGTTCAAATGCTCAGTTGTTTTCGTGATCATGTGCTCATCATGTGCTCTTCAATGTCAACATAGATAGAACTTCTCTAAGATGATGAGTTATTTTTATTAATAACAAATGCACACAACTGCACTGAAGTCCACTTTCAATTGCTTTAGAGCAGTGTTTCTCAATCTCAGCAACTTTAAGACGAGTGACCTTCCAGAATTCCCCAGCCAGTATGGTTGGCTGGGGAATTCTGGGAGCTGAAGTCCACATCTCTTAAAGTTGCCAAAGTTGAGAAACACTGCTGTAAGGGATGTTTATGCTCATGATGACTCATTACTTTGCCCCTTGATCAGGGGTTCCACGAAATATTTTTTTAGCAGTTTCCTTGGCCTGAAAAAATATTAAATCTTTGGTTTAGACTTTTGTGAGAAAGGATACAAATGACAAGGATCAGCTTTCTATCAGATCTGTTGCCACTCCATGATTGCAAAGAGAAAGAACAGCCCCTCCACCAGGGGTAACTGCAGGGGTGTCAGACAAGCCACAACCGTGCGATGGAAGCCCCACCCTTTTTTACAGGCCATCACATGGTTGTGGGTGCCATCTTGACTTTTTTGACCCCTTCCCTGTGGACCCCCCTGCCTTCCATTCCTAACCACCCTATAGCATGCAACCTGAAATGTATCTCTAAAGAGAATATTGTAAGAAGTGGCTCCCCCAAGTTAAAGGTGTTTAACTTTATGCACACATCCGAGCACACTCACACACACTTTCTCATCAACCCTCGCTAGGAAACTTTCCAACTTCTTGGTTATTTTGAACCTAAAGTTTCTTTTCTGTATGTTATCTGGGAATCATTGAATAGGGTGTTTTGTTGTGTCTGCAAAGGTGGGTCTAGCACCCAGCCCATTGTGACTTCCCCTGCTGCTCACCCACAAAACAGACACCTTGCGTGAAAAAAATTCCTAGACTCAATTCCTATGATTGCACGTTAAATATAATTTCAAAGCCCCAAGCCCGGAAAACTAGCTATTCTCTCCAAACGGATTCACATTTGCCAAAATCAACAGCTTCAGAATGAACTTAATACTTGCAACCTGCCTCCTAATCAAAATTCCCAGAGCCAGTCCCCCAGCTAAAATAGCAACTATAAAATATAAGGGAGATTCCCTTTTCTCATTAAAATATGGATAAAATGGCTGCTTCCGGTTTAGGGCACTTCCATATGGGGTGGTTTCTATTTCCCAATCTCTCTAAAGTAGTGTACACCGTACAGCAGTGTTTCTCAACCTTGGGAACTTTAGGATGAGTGGACTTTGACTCCCATGGCTGGCTGGGGAATCCTGGGAGTTGAAGTCCACTCATCTTAAAGTTGCCAAGGTTGAGAAACACTGTCCTAAAGGGATGGGGCTTTTGAATGTCACCTGACCAGCCTCCCCTGTCTACTGTACCTTAGAAAACATTGCAATGGATACCCTTCAATGCAGTTCAATGAATGTTTCCCCCTCACTTAATATCTCACACAATCCCGTTAAGTTCTCAAGAACCTTCAGATTCTATGGAACACTGTTTGAAACTCCCTGGTCTAAAGGACAGGATTTGATAAATCTCACTACACCTTCACCCCAGAGGCCCAGCCTAGAAATAATTAAAGAATTCAGCAGTTTGCTAGAGGCTATTTCATTTGCATCGGAGGCTAAGAGATGAGGCTTGAGATGGTAACAAGTCTGGTCCTTTTCCCCTTGCAGCACCAAGAAACCAGAAACATTCCTAATGCCAAAAGATGCAAAGAAGATTGCAACAGGTAAGTCAATGGAAGTGGCAAAAGGAAACGCTTGTGTCATCTCTTGCATTTGTTCCTGTGTTGGTCGTATCTGTGTTGAGAATGAAGTGGTGCTAGGATGTTCCTGCACTAAATCTGGGTTCCCCTAAGGCATCTGGGTGCCCACTGGGATGTAAAGCAGAATATTGGATTAGATGCCCTTTGGTCTGTTCCAAGTGGGCTCTTAGCTGCCCTCTCTGATAAAATGATTTTATTATCATTTTCAGGGAGTTTTAATTCATAGTTTATCATGAGGACTAGAAACATACGTTTTTAAAAAAATGGCATTGGGTAAATTTTTAAAAGTGAGAGCTCCCAGGGCTGAAGCCTAGTTTTTAGGTTCCATGAAAGTTCTGGAAATTATCCCTTCATCTCATCTTCTTCTCATCTTGCTGCTCATTTCCCTCTATCCCAATCATGTTCATGCGTGCTTGAAATTTAGCATCACGCTTCACACATCTGATGAAGTGAGTTGTGCTCCATGAAAATGAGGGCCGTAATAAAGGTGTTAGCCCAGGTGTTCCTAACTCGGTGCTCTCCAGATGTGATTAAATAGTTGTGCTGGCTGAGAAAGTGGAGGGCACCAGGTTGAAGAAAGGAGGGCCACAAGACGCATTACTGGTTTTGCTGTACCTGAAGAATATTACCTAACTTAAAAAAAACAAACCATTGGGTGATGAGGAGACATGTGGTCTGAATTGTTTATTTAATGTTTTTATACCCTACACTTCAGCTGGAAAAATTCTGAGTGGGTCCCCTTTCTGTGGAATCCCCTTTCTGTGGAATCCCCTTTCTGTGGAATCAGCCAGAAATTAGATCAGCATCTTCACTGATAATCTTTAAAAGATTAGTGAAAACCTGGCTAATTAAACAGGCATTTGGGGACTGATATGGAGAACGTATGTACGTAGGATGACTGTGGGCACAGCTAATGATGTTGTTATTGACTTTATGCTGTGGTTTATTAGTAATGATAGGTACCATATATATGCTGCTCTTTTAAGCGGCTTATTCTTTTTAACTGAAGAGGCAAAAAAGCACATATAGCAAATGAACTAAATAAATAAACTGTGATTTTCCCCTTGAAAGAAGATCGTCCCTGCTCTCAGGTTCACAACCTGAAAAGAGAACAGCGCCAAGGAAAAGTTCTTCCGGTTCTTAATAGCCTAAGGATCTTCCTTCCTCCCTCTGCTACAATGGGTAGATTGGCGGTTGGATGATCACTGGGGAAGAAGCAAAGCCAGATGTACACAAACCAGGGACGATCCCCTCCCCTTGTAAATAGCTCTTGGGTAACCCAGTTCTATTAAATGTTGGCTCCAACTGGGTCTTCTGGTCTTCTAATTACCATGGTTTCTCCTCTTCTGTAGACATCACAGGCCCTATCATCCTACAGACCTACCGTGCGATTGCTGACTATGAGAAGAACTCTAACACTGAGATGGCCATAAAGGTGGGGGATATGGTAGACGTGGTGGAGAAGAGCGAAAGTGGTAAGAAAATAGCTGGGGAGTTTTTTTGCTTGTCTTGTGGGGGATCAGAGCTTGAGCTTCATGAAAAAACCATTTTTTCCTATCATGGTTATGCATTCCAGGATGGTGGTTTTGTCAGCAAAAGAATAAACGAGGCTGGGTACCAGCAGCTTATCTAGAACCAATGGATAGTCCAGATGAATCTGAAGAACAGGAGCCCAATTATGCAGGTAAATGAACTTTACTGTTGGATTTGAAGCTGTCCTCAAGCTAAGGACCGCACAGAGCAAGGTCCCAGTTTAGCTCTACAGGTATTGTGTGAAAAAGGAAAAGGAAGTGGTGAGTTAAGGTTTAGACATTCATATTGTAATATATGAATCTTAATATGATTATTAATTATTAATTAGTTATGATTATTAATAGGAATCTTAACATTCCACAAGTCCCTCAAGACCTGGCTATGTGATCAGGCCTGGGGCTCCCAGGGGACCGGAGAGATTTTACCATGGCTCCCTTA